TCTGCATGGCAGTTTACTCCAAGTGCCTCATTCGCTTGCTTAAACTCAACGTTGATTGTGATTCCGCAGAACTGGGTTGGGTGTGAAAAAGTATTTGTTGTTAATATTCTTTTTTCATTCGGTTTTTCCAGTTACGAGTCCTTTTTTAAAGCTGATCGGTTTGTGTTCATTTTGTTTAGTTCTTTTTTCGTAACAGATTTAATGTTTAGTATAGAGCTTATAAAAAATTCGCAGTGTGAAAAAAAAGTAAGGCATGTAGCAACATCAGCATGGCAAAGGGCGCTCCTTTAAAGGCAAAGAAGGGCAAAAATATTTTAAGTCAAGTGATAGCGATTGCTGTATGAGTCGTACGATTTTTGAATCAAGCACGGGCAACGCCGGGTCATGCTGCTAGTTAGAGATATTATTTTGTCAGTAGAGTTTGTCTTAACACTTGATCATTAACATTCTTGTTGATTTTAAATACATTCCTATTATTAAATAATTATAACGTATTTTCAATATACATATAATTCAATATAAAATATACATATAATTCTATTCTATCAGTAATACATGAATTAAATTCTGGTCATTGACAATCACTTTCTGATTTTCAATGTATTACTCTAGGCAAAACGACTAATGCGTTTTCACTCTCTATATTTATCTGCTTCAACTTCTATTTCTGAGTGTATTTGGTTCCAGCAAAAACGGCACGTTGTAGCAAAACTATCGCCAGCACAATACCGTCAATATTTCACTTTCACTCCAGGTTGCATATTAATAATATTAGTGTTGGATAACTGCTGCCGTTTACCATGATATTAAAAAACGGTGATTTTATATGTATGTTTTCGTGTTAGCTTGTTACGGAAAATCTTAGGAATATCAAAAGAGAAAAAACTGAAGATAAATGTTCCAGAAACCCATAAATATTTAACATTATTCCACCAACATTCACGTTCCTGCTAACAATAAAAATAAACATGCTTCGTGATCCCTTTGAAGGTTATTTAAGCAAAGTTTCTAGATGGACAAAGTGGGAAGGAGAGACAGACTGCAACAATTCTCGGCTTAAAAGAAATTCCCTTACTCACTCACCCGTCTTCCTCACCAAGCTACATAACACTTACACTTTACTCCTCACTTTCTCCCTTGCATCTTCTTTTTACAGTTTTTATATAGAAGTATTTTTCCCGACAAAAACGTATCATTATTCTAAGTGTATCATTATTCGATGCCAAAATTATTCATATTTTCATTTGTTTCTTTTCAATTATTAAACATTTTCACACTTTTTGATGAAAACATTGTTTGCAATTTTTTCAAACAGTTATATTAGAGATCATTTAACATTAACATATAGTCGAATTAGAAGAAAAATCTAACATTCAATTTCAAAGGCAGCCGGTGCTTACTTGAGGATTAACCGCCAGTCTAATAAAAAGTTAATTGTATGGACCAAATATTTACGATATTTTGTATTATTTAAACGTTTCTTTGAAAATACGTCGATAAGGTTTAGTCATTTTTTAATAAAATTTTCGACAAATTAGTTTTCCGTCGGAAGAAAATTGTTCGAAAATAATTATTCGAATAACCATTTATTCGAATTGTAAATTGTTTGAATGAAAATTAATGGAAAGGGAAATTATACTAAATGATAATTATTTGAAATATCTATGTTTGAACTACGTATGTAGCCTTGCTTTCAGAAAGTCAATGCTGATTTACCTAGAACTAATAACGCCCTTGAAGGATGGCATAGGACTTTTGCAGCAGCAAGTGTCATCATATCACCCCACAATATGGAAATTCTTAGACGCTCTTAAAAGACAATAGGTCTTGCAAATAATTCATATGGCAAAAGTAAGAGTAAGTTGCCAAAATATTAAGACCGGCAAGATGTAAATGGAAAACTTAAAAAAATTAGAAGCATCCATTAACGAATACTCTTCAGAAGTTGACTGTATGCAGTATTATATAATTTAAGGTTTTATTAAAGATATTTGTATTTCGAATAATTATCATGTTTATTTCATCTTTTAATTTTTACATTTTTATTGCAATAAGGAACTTTAAATTTCGAATAATAAGTATAATTGTTCTTTCGATTAATTTTCATTCAAACAATTTACAATTCGAACGAATGTTTTTTGAATAATTGTTTTCTAACTATTATTTTCAAACACTGTTTAATTATTAATAATTTTTTTATTTATTTGCAAATTTTCATAATAAAAATTCCATAAATAAAAGTGAATATACATAACAACGTCATTCTGTCTGAATTTCCGGGATGAGGAACTCTTCATTATTTAGAGTTTACATCTATTTTTGTGCTAGCGGCCATATCACGTTGAAACACTAGTTCTTCTAAGATCATTGAAGTTAAACTACGCCGACTTAGATAGCTGACCACTTAGGAATACCAGGTTTTCTGAGGTTGGATACGCAGGTGATGTAATGAATAACGATTCTGAATTCTTTAGCTGAGAACCGAGATTCAATTCCAGTCGGGTTCACTTACACGCAAAATAAAAGGTATGAATCCACCTATTCTCCCGCCAGCTATGGGTTAATTATCATGAAATCGTTATCATCTTCTCTCCCCAAATTCTTACAATGTAAAAATATTTTCTAGCTTTAAATAATCTGCAAAAGATTGATAAGTTGAAGAAAACAAATCAATTGAAACGTTGTGAAAAAAACAACAAAGATGAAGGGATGAGTTTTCTTTTCTGTCATTTCAGGACTTAGGCAATAATAGTTCTCCCTAACTTCCTGTCCCTTGTAACGCTCTTAAATTTTGTCTTTTTCTTATCTCTCTTAAGCCTTGTCCCACTATCCATTTACTCAAACTCATCAAGTGAGTTATGCGTTGGTTTCCTCTGTACCTTTTGCATTTAACCTGTGCTGTGAGTATCAGATTTTCCAAGTCTTCTTTCCACATTATGCCCCCCCCATACACATTTCAGCTGTTTCTTTCTGATGTTATAAGTTTACTGTTTGTTTCCTTTTTTTTTAAACATTGCCGTTGCTCATATGTTCGGGTTCATGGAATCCCCAGCATCCTTCTGTAGAACTACATTTCTGTTACTTCAAGTCTTTTCTTCATCTCCGAGGAGATTATAAATACTGTAAAACAAGATGATTCCGTGAGTAAAATTTGCTCACATTACTGGAAATATTTTTTTTCACAGATTTTCACATTGAGCGCTGAACCTTGCTAAATCAAATTTTAGATAAAAGGCCAAAAGTTTATTCATATTTACCAAATTGGATTTTAAATTCATAGCCATACGAACGATTTTCACAGATTGCTTTGCCTGAATGAAGTAATGATAATATTTTTTTAATCAGTTGGATACTGCAAATTCATGTATGGTGCGCTAAACACTACACTTTTTCTTATATAAGCAGACACCCAAGTCTAATAATTTTCTTTGTGAAATCCAGTAGAAAATATTTAAAAAAATAGTAATTATATATATATATATATATATATATATATATATATATATATATATAATAAGCAAATATAAATGGATATAAATCTGACAGAATGAAGAAAATATCTGGAAAAAAAAAAACAAAAATCCTTAAAATGCGATTATGTTGTTTTAATATGAATGAAATGTCGACGTCTGACGTTTCGGTTTAATAACCTTCTTCAGGACAATATTCATTAAAAATACAATTAACATAATCAGTATAACACGACGAAAACAATGGACATAAAAACAAGTCTTATCCAAAACAGATAAATGAAAAATTCATTTATCTGTTTTCGTCGTGTTATACTGATTATGTTAATTGTATTTTTAATGAATATTGTCCTGAAGAAGGTTATTAAACCGAAACGTCAGACGTCGACATTTCATTCATATTAAAACAACATAATCGCATTTTACCTGCCATGAGTCCCATTTAGAGATTTGTCAAAATTAAACTCACTACGTGTTATTCCTTGTATTTACATTGAATTGCTTACATACATTGCATTTGCTGAGGTATATTTTACAACACTTAGCCTTTAATGTTTTTATTATTAGCCGTAACTAATCATAGAAGACATTTTCTGTCGTAATTTTACATTTCACGAATAGAAAAATAATGTCTATTTTGAAAAGTATTTTTTTTAATTATTTCTAATCAATATTATGTTTTGATGTTTTATACAAATATATATTTGATGTTCTAGTTTCAATAAAGTTTCAAAGGACCAGCTATTCGAAGAAAAGTTTAATATTGCATGTTGTTTTAACTCCTAAGACAACTGTCTGGGCCAAAAATGCGCATTAAAAAAATTTGGCAGTTAATGTTTTAAATTTGTATGGAGCTGGAAGGAAGTTCCACAAGCGAGAAATGAAAGAAAACAAACTGTTAGCATAGAATAAGGAAGAAAATTCTGTCAATAATTGTCCATAGCTCATTTCTTCCTAAATGAGCTATAGACAATTACTTATTTTCTTAAGTCATCACCACGTAATTTAGAGGCACTTCGTCATGGTGTAATGTCCAGTAAGCGTGACTCGCTAGATCTATTACAATTGAATAGTGACTTTCATCCTCACTTGGTCCCCCATACTATTGGCCTTGTGCCACAATCTAAGATATACTTAGAAAATCATCGCTAGGTTAGGTAAAGGCAAATGGTGAATTTTGTAGAACTGATCATGATTCAAATGACGTGAATAAATATTATGACGTAGGCAAATAGTGTTGTGACGCTTGCAAATAGTGTTGTTGGCAAATAGTGTTGTGGTAGGCAAATAGTGTTGTGACGCTGGCAAATAATGTTGTGACGTAGACAAATAGTGTTGTGACGTTAGCAAATAGTGATATAAGCAAAATGTATTTGTTTTTTTTTTAATATATAATTTAAGGATGCTGATTTTTAAACCATTAACAATGCTTCATCCCTATAGATACATCAATATCCATAAGGTTTTTCACTCTTTAATGTCACCCATTGCTCTTAGTTAAGAAAAGTTATAAAACAAAGTGTAACTTACCGAATCCAAAATGTATTCCACCAACAATTCCTTGCATTGTAGCAGACAGCCCAGCAGGGGCCAGAATATTTGCGTGACCCGTAGCTGAGGCATACATAAGACCAAAGGTTAATCCATGCAACGGCTCAATGGCCAAGACAAACCAACTTTTTGTGAGGAATGAATAACAAAGAAAGCGAATGCTGTAAGCCGCTAATGCCAGATAGAGGCACGGGATGTGTCCGATCTTTTTCAAGATCTTATTTGAAATGCACAAGATGAAAAGTTCCGAGAAGCAATTGAGGAAGAGACAAAGTCCCAGAACGGTCTGTGACGTGCCTTTGTCTTTAAGGAACCAGAACAAAAATCCTGTAATGGCACCGTATAATGTCCCAAAAATGAGAATGACGAATAAAAAGAGCAAAATCTCGAAGTTTCTCAGCACCAGTCCAAGTTTCTGGAACATCTGCGCCGACTTAATCGTTGTAGAAGCTTCGATTTTGCTTCCCCCGATGCAGGAAAGTATGATGAATGCAATGAAAAAATAAAATGATATGTGATAATCAAGCTCCTTGTGTGATTGCTCGAAAAATTCCATCAGCCCGGTGGAGAGCAGGGCGAACAGGCCAAAACCTATTGTGCCCCACATACGTTGCCGACCCCAGAAGTAATTTTGCTCTCCTAGAAGGTCGTAGGCGATAGCATCAATAAGGCTGGACGTAGGCGCCAAAAATAGATTGCAAACGAGAAGAAGAACAAAAAACGTTACAAACGTGATTCCATAGAGGTTGATATTTTTTTCACAACCAACATTAGTCTGTCGAGGGCATTCGAAGTCACAGTTAAGAACAGTTTCTTCGTCACACAACATCTGCCAGTAAGATTTTCCCTGATGAAGCAAATTCTTCAGATTGTACTCCTTGCAAATCAGATGAGGAAGGGCGATCCGCTCTTGATGTATCTCACTCATCATTGTCACCGTAGCGTTTTTGATCGCAAAATGCAAGTATGACTCCTTACTCGAGCTGACCCAAATATCTACACAGTTTCTTTCTCCAAACGGCCTTACGTCCGTCGTAAAGCAGACCCGCGAAGTATACGCACCTGGGACCGCAAATAGACAGGACGCCTTGCAATGGATCCCCGTCATATTATTCTGTCTTGACATCAAAGCATATTCGTAAAAGGTCAACGGACAATGATCTACGCGATTTAACACGATTCTGCTGGCTCCTGATTGGTTAGTCTGAAACGGTAAGCAGTCCCGGATGTACGAGTCTTGTGTATTACAATGAACGTTTGTCTTAATGGAGATGGTGTGAGGGATGTGTTTGGCTGGTACCAGTAAGAGGCACAGGTAGCTGACACCACACATGAAGGTACAGAAGAGGAGGATGAACTTGTGTTTATGAAAGCGATCGGCGACGAAACTGAAGATTGGCTGCACGAAGAAGCTGATGAAAGGCATACATCCAAAGATGATACCCACTTCTTGAGCCAGAAGACCCAACCTCTTCATGTAGATCGGTATGAAAGGGAGAAGTGTTCCCGTTGCTGCAAGAACAAAAAAGAAGTATGAGGTTAAATCTTGATGTATCATGATTGTAAATCACTTTTTTTTAAAAATAAAAACATCATGTATTCTATAACTTCGACAAAAGTCAGTAAAACATAGAATTTAGTTTCGTACGATCAAATCTCTCTGCACAGTTAAGGTTTTGTTAACACAACGTTTTGGTGTATAGACTTTTCAGTTCTCGCCAGGTGTATTCTGGGAAAATGGAAAATACTTTATTAAAAAATATAATATGTTGTGGATTCCGAGATGAAATTCGGTCTCCAATGAATGACAAACGCAAGAATTAAAGATACGAAATTAAATGTATTTACACAATAATACAATGGGTAATACTGTTAGTAAATCCAGGAACGCGCTTAGAAGCAATATATATATATATATATATATATATATATATATAGTCTCTAAGTAGGACTTCCTTAGAGTCTACGTGCTTGTAACTGTGACTTCTACAAGCGGTTACCTCACACTATTTATCTACCTCCAACTCACTCTCAATCTCTGTATTCTGACTGACTCTGGGTATTTAACACTTTGCTCGAGTCCGCTTATTTGAAAAAGGGGAGGACCCCATAATATAATAAAATAAAATAAAATATCTTGTAGCTTTTTGATTTTCTCCCAATTAAAATCAACAAAAATGTAGGTGCAGGTCAATCTGAATATATATATATATATATATATATATATATATATATATATATATATATATATATATATATATATATATGTGTGTGTGTGTGTGTGTGTGTGTGTGTGTGTTAATAAATACACATATACTTACGATTGATATGCGACTCGAATTTCGTTGGTTACCCAATTCATCGGGCACGAGATAGCACTTATTTGAAACAATTGGCGATATCTCGTGGCCGATGAAACTCGAGTCGCACACCAAACGTAGGTATATGTGAATTTATTAACAGAGACTTCTTAGCTGTGTCTAATCACATTGAGCACTATTATGTCTACACCTCTTGGCTAAATTTGATAATTATTTATTTGCTTACCAGCGTATGCACGCCACTACACGCGTATACGGTCGCTAATATCTAGTTATCTCATTTATTTAACATATATATATATATATATATATATATATATATATATATATATATATATATATATATATATAACAATGTGAGCAGGATCTACCTACCAAGTTTTCACCTAATGGATCGTCAGGTTATAACTGGCTAAAGAGGATAGGTCAAAGCGGCATATTTATAGGTAAAAAAGAACTGTAAACTAAAATTAGTATATTAAAATATACATACAGCTCTACATAACTCTATTGAGCACTTAAGTTTTATACGATATTTTTTTACACCAGTAGAGTATAGGTATTATAATATATATATATATATATATATATATATATATATATATATATATATATATATGTCATTCGCAGACAGTACTGTTTCGCTGTATCACAGCACCTCATTGAGACTAAACATCCGAATGCCTCAAGTTAAGCTCGAAATCCAACCGATTTGGTGTCAGTCGGAGCTTCTACCACTGAACTGTCTTAACTCGGCAGAGCGTATTGTTTTTACGAATGTAAACAAATACCAATCAGCCGAAGTGCTCCATTCATTTTACTGAAGAGCTTTGCATTAGCGCAGGTAGCTGTTGTTTATAGAATTAGCTTATCACTCAACAGTGCTCAATTGAAGTATATTTTCAAGAGCTAAATATATAAAGATTTATACTTTGAAATTGCTAAAAATGTAGACTTTATCTGAAATTTCCGTGATTCATTGAAAAGTATTGCGTAACGTGTAGATGACATCACATTGAAGAATACTTGTAAGTGATAAATGCTTTCTTTGTCATTAGGCTTTGAACTTATTGATGTATCTACAGAAAAACAAACAGAGAATGCATCATGGTTCTACATAATTTCCGGTCGTTTTTCGCTCTTAATAAACATGATCCTTTTGCCATATCCCCTAAACAATGATCCGACCTCCATTGCACTCAAGCTCAAAGTAGGTTAGCCATAGATTCCCTCTATCACTTTCCTGTGTGTATCAATTTTTCAAGCCTTCTTTCCTCATTATGTGCGCTAGAAATTTCAAGTATTTTTTCCTGATGTTAGGTATAAGTGTTCTTTTTCCTTTTTTACTCACAAATTTGGTTCATGATATTTTCAGTATCCTTCTGTAGAAACATATTTTTTATTCGGTATCACCCCATACAAGGTAGTAAAGCCCTTAAGACACAAGGGTTTACAGGGTGTGGAAGAATTAAGAACAGAATCATTAATAATGAGCAGGAAGCGGAAAGAGTAATCAGGAGGACAGTGGATGTAGATTGACTCTGCATTTAAATTTTGCAGATTAAAATTGGCTGGAAAGCATAGAACTGGAAGAGAGTTCCACAAGCGGTAAGTGCGAGAGAAGAAACTGCTAGCATAGAACTTACGGCTACATCTAGCAAACTCAACTGTAAATCGATGAGATCTCGACGCCAATCTAGTGCTGCGCTTAAACTAGATACTATAGCGATCCGAAAAATTACTATTTATAGAATAGACATAGCAAGGCAATCTTACGGCGGAAGGAAAGCGACTGAAGCCGAGCCGCCAGATCAGGACCAGTCATATAGCCGATTCTTCTTTGGATCTTATCAAGAAGCTCAAGGTAAATAGAAGGAGCACCGGATCATAATGTGGCAGCAATATTTTAAGCAAGGGCGAATGGTTGACTTATAGATACGTAAGATAAATTCTGGAGAGAAAAATTGTCTCGCATTACACAGTGAACCCACTTTCTAAGCAGCTGACTTAGCAATGGATTCAATTGTTAGTCCAAGTCTCATTTTAATCTGCGATGTTGTAAATTGAAAAGAGTTCCACAAGCGACAAATGTTGGAGAAGAAACTTTTGGCATAAGAGTTACATATATCAATTTTAAGTGTAAATGACGAGATTTAGCCACTCATCTAGAGATTTAGCCGCTCATCATCTTAAGCCGCGCTTAAATTCGTAACGTCCAGTTATCAAAGATGAAAGCTGATCTGGATAATTACTATGAAAATATTTATAGACATGTCCCATAAAAGCTACATTACGACGGTGGGGAAGTAACTGAAGCCGGGATGCCAGGTCAGGGTCGATAACATTTCAGATTCTTTTGATTTTTTTCAAGAACTTCTAAATGCATAATAAAAGCACCAGCCCTGATGTGAGAGCAATATTCAATGCACGAATAAATACTCGACTTATAAATGTGCAATATAGATTCTGAAGAGAAAAATACGCAGTGAACCAACTTACCTAGCAGCAGATTCAATATAATCTTCCCATTTCATGACAGCGATAAACGTTATCCCGATAAGGCGTATAATAATTCAATTATTATATGATATTATTGTATGATATTATAAAGTATGTTAGAGGTAAGGTTATTCAGTCCATAAAGATACCTCTCATATACATCATATATTTAATAAAATTAATAAAATTATTATTATTATTATTATTATTGTAAATGTTCAGCTTAACATTGTTTAACTTGATCATTTTGAGTATTTAGTGAATACAATTCTTGTATATCAAACGAAATTTAACTTCGAGAGATCAGTGTTAAACAGTGAGTTTGAGCCTCACTTTCGTACAAAGCCTAAAATGTGCGAAGGTAAGGCTCAAAAACGCTGAAGGACTAAATTGAATTTAAACATTTATTTTGCTTTACATTTCAAAACATCTAAGTCTAAATCACTGATGCATTTATTTTTTACAAATGGAAATTTCTGAGAGTTTTAAAATTCCTCAGAGTTTTTCTGCTTGATTCTAAAAGTAAGACACATTGGATTAAGTTTATACAAAACTTAATAGATTCCACTTTTTAGTGTTATGTTCCACCTTGGCACTCTAATAGTATTTACTACTGCTCTTTATTTCAGGTACAAAATTTGATTAATTTTGATCTAAAGAAACCTGTTGCAATTACTATTATTGTAAACAGTGATATTTTAGAACAACCGTATTTGGCAGCACCCGTTGGAAAGAAGGAGAGAACAAATGTAAGTTTTATTTGTGTACCTAACAATTCTAGTCATGTATAAATTGTTCCCCGTATTTTTAAATTCTGCAACATCTTTATAAGACCTTTTAGGATTGTTGCATTCAATGTAATAAAAGGCGATATGTTACACTTCTGTATTACGTGTACTCTGGCAAGGTCACTATGTTTACTGTCTTTTTATTTGTCTGTGTCTCAGGTGTGATCTGAGAGTAATTATATTTTCTATGAAATAGGTTACTCTTCTAAAAATGTGATGACTGATCAAGATGACTTTTAAAAAGAAAATAAAGTCTGGTCATTTAATCAGGACTAACTCTTTAAGATGACCAGATATGATCTTCTAGACTCCATTGGCTTTCAAATTCCAATTCTCTTTTATTTTGTACTCTGTCCGAAGCGTAATATCCATTATCGGAAATATTTTATTGTTGCTTTTTATGATGACAATATCTGATCTTGTATCCTCCATTTATCAATCTTTTTTTATGTTTAATATCCTAAAGAATTTTATTCATCCTTTTTATTATCTGCATTATTAAGATTGTCTTTTGACCGGAAGAAATTGTAATTTTAAGTTTCGTCAGAATATATGTATTATTATTATTATTATTATTATTATTACTATTATTATTATTATTATTATTATTATTATTTCTTTTGATTTCTGGTGGGTACAGTTTTCTTTCCGGGTCCCGTCCAGAGACCTAAGGTCAGAAATGGCATCATGATATTTATCACTGGGCATCAAAATACAACAACAACAACAACAACACACATATTTTACATAGATAAACCCCTTTGTACTCGTGAGAACAATTTTTTATATTTCTTTAAGGCATGGGTTACCAGGAATCC